CCACTCCTCTACTGTAGTTTGTAAGAAATCAAAAGTCCGTAGAAGAACTCTGCCAGACCTCAACAGATTGGTGATCCTTCCTAGTCAAGAACATGGTGCTCCCACCAAAGGCCAAATTGGTAACCTTAGCCCCACCCATGTCCCTAACCCTCCCCATCAAGTTCTTCTTGAAGATCCTTCCACCGTTCAAAACAACCTCAGACCAAAGCTCCACGTCACCAGCCTTAGTGCAAAACACCTGATTCCCCTGCGTTTGGATCTTGCAACCAAAACCTTCCTTCTTCCCATTCAGAGCCTTTCTCTTATCTCCCAGACAGACCCACGTGCTCTCGCCGCCACTACTCAACTTCCTCAAGTCCACGTAGGACGCCTCACCCGAATTCACCCCAACCTTAAAAATAACCGACAACCCATCACAAACTGCCACGTCAGCAAAACAATCCACCTTCTCCGAAGTCTCCCAGACTACGTTACCCGACCGAACGTCCCACAACCGCATGTTGCCGCTCACGCCGGAGGGACCGCTGTGGGACCCAGATGCCATCAAAAGCTTGCAACTTTCCACCCACTGCAGCTTCGTCGCCGGAATCGCCGAATCGATGTCGGCGCCGAAGATTTCGTTGTGGGCAATCTCCGTCACGGGGGCCAGGCTTTGAACATCGTACACCATTATGGAGTTTGAGTTTCTACGGGAAGATTCGAAGCTAACAAACATTTGCTCCGGCGAGGATCCGATGGCTTGGACGGTGGAGCCCGATTTGGTGACGTTTTCCCAGTGCAGGGTTTCCCTCACGCGCCCCTTTTCCAGGTCGAGGATTTGGAGGCCGGAGAAGTCGTTGGCGCCGGCGGCCACGAGCGACGGCGAGAGCGCGAGGAGAGAGTCGACGGCGGTGAAGTGGGTGAGGAGGGTGGACTTGCGGCGGAGGGACCAGTCGAAGGAGGTGATCTTGCTGCCGTGTGCGACGTGGAGGGCGCCGAACGCGGTGGCGGCGAGGGCGGAGGGGGGGTCGCGGCCGTTGAGGGGCAAAAGGAGGGATTTATGGAGGTTGAAGGGTTCGAATTGGGAAGGGTTGGAGAGGGAATTGATTAAGAGGGTTTCGACGCCGTAGAATCTGGACTCGATTATTAGGTCTTGGAGATCGAAAGCTTTGGCCTTTGAAGGAAGGTTACCGGTTCTGAGGAGGGAAAGGATAAGAGAGAAAAGTTCAGGGTCTCTGTCTATGAACGGCGTGTAGATTCCAGAGGTGGCGGCGAGGGCGGAGGGGGAGTCGCGGCCGTTGAGGGGCAAAAGGAGGGATTTATGGAGGTTGAAGGGTTCGAATTGGGAAGGGTTGGAGAGGGAATTGATTAAGAGGGTTTCGACGCCGTAGAATCTGGACTCGATTATTAGGTCTTGGAGATCGAAAGCTTTGGCCTTTGAAGGAAGGTTACCGGTTCTGAGGAGGGAAAGGATAAGAGAGAAAAGTTCAGGGTCTCTGTCTATGAACGGCGTGTAGATTCCAGAAGATTCCGCTATTCGGGAGAAGAAGGTTTTGGGACCCGCCGAGGTTAGGGTTTGTTTCGTCGTTTGAAAGAGTTGACCACCCACGTCGATCGAAACTATGTTGTTCGTTTCCCCCTTCGGACACACCGCCGGTTTAGAGCCTTCAAAGGGAGGCATTCTTCTCAATTTTCTTCTTTCCTCCGTCTCAGCTGCCAATCAATTCAACAGAAAAAAAAATGTGTGTTATAGTAGTTGGGACTGTGTGAATGAAGAGAATATAGAGAGAAAATTGTGCTCCGGTAGGTGGGATTTAGGAGGATAGAGAGAAATGGGGGTTATTTATATATTGTTATGTGTGACAGGAGATAAAGGGTCCTTAATGGAACGAGGACCTTCTAATAATTATACACAACAGGAATAGTTGTTTAAATTTTTTGAAATAGGTTTTAGTAACTATTTTTTTTTTATCAAATATTATTATTTTTAAATTTAACAAAAAAATTCTTTCAATTTTTTTAAAAAATAAATATATAAAAACATGAAGTATATTTTTCCATATTAATATATAAAAAAGTATACTAATTTGTTAAAAAGTAAAAATTAAAAGTGATTACATAATTCAATATTTACTTTATAATAGATATAGGTTTTAAATTTTTCTTGTTTTGCCATGACATGGGCGCTCCAGAACAGAAGGTGCAGCAATGCAGAAAAAAACTCTTGGCTTTGGTCAACGCCAAGTTGGGCCAGAGCTTCTAGAATTGCAGCTTTGCTAACGTGTTTTGAAAAATAAATATTATATGGGTCTGCCGGCGGTCTAGATGTAACATAATTATACATGTTATAAAGAAGATATAAAGATTTTTTTTTCTTTTTAAAAATTATTATACTCTTTAGATGTTAAAAAAAATAACTCTTCACATGTTTTATAAATAATCAATCACAATTCTTTAATATTTTATTTACGTAATTGTTAGTGTCCCATGTATTTCGGCATCTTTAGTTCCTTTAACGCCGTTAGTTGGCGTATCTTTGGTATTGTTGCACGTGTATAACAGTTGCGTTGGGTCAAATTAGGTGCCCAAGTTTTCCATTATTAATTTATGTGAGATGGGGACATCAAATAGAGAGTGAGGGGGCCGTTATTGACTACTTGACTAAATATTATATTACAAGTTTTTAGATTTTTCCTCTAACATATATATATTTTAATTTTTATCTCTTTAAAATATAAAATTACTATTTTTGGTCCATAAGAATAATTTTAAGATATATAAATAATATTTATTTTAAGAACTTATAAATTTTTAAAAATATCACATACTAATATGATATCTAGGTAATACATAAGAATATCACTTAACCTCTCAATAAATAAACAAGTAATTTAAAATTATTACATAATAATAAAAACTAAAAATAATAATTGTAAAGTGTAGAGAGATAAAAAAAAATAAATTTTACAAGGATCAAATCATAATTTATTCATTTGATAAAAAAAATATAATTTATTCATTTTATAAAAATTAAAAATATATTTAATCCAAATTGTTAATAATCATCATTGACATGTAAATATTACATTGCAAAAATGATAACAATTATAATATACATGACAACTATCACAATTTAACACATAACTTTGCAAATTTTTTTTATGGTTGGAGTAGACCCCTAATTTGCTCCTCAAATTTGGCAAATGTCAAATGTTGCCACTTTAGTCATTTAATTTCACAAAGTGAAACAAAAAAACTTCGTAAGTATATAATTTGTCATTTACATTAGTCCTTTCATTAAGCATTTTTTTTATTATCATTAATAGAACAATTAATCTAACATGTTAAATATTTATATGACACACGACATATTCATACAATGACTAATTCTAAGAATAAGATTAGGTATGAAAAATATTGATCCATCTGTTTTAGTCCATGAATTTTGACACTCATTATCATATTGATCCCTTAATTTGATTAAATTTTATATTTCACCATTTCACATCAGTAAAGAACATTAATTTATGTCAATTATCTTTAATAAAAAAATTGTAATTATCTCCTTAAGTGTCTTGATGCTAAATACAAAATGACCTTCATATTTTAGTTAATAAGAACAATATTTTACGTTCATATGTGGCACACTCATTTTACATTATTTAAGATCATTATTAACCTTTGGATGTTTAAAAAACTTTAGAACTTAAGAGACTTCAACTGGAATAATAAATGAATTTCAAAATCCACTATACAAGCTAGCTAGATCATGTTCAACTTTCACTCCATTGTTTTCTCAAGCCTCAAACATACTCAAATTGTAAAGAGTGTAATTGTAGGATAAAGTCCTTTGTTATTTATTATTTATTAGTTGTTAAAATTATAACATAAAGAAAAATCTCAATTTGAGATCATAATAATTAATATTTAATAATATTAAAGTTTAATTACATATTTAATCTTTATTTTTTTATCATTTTTATAAGATAAAAATATGAGCTAAAAGTAAAATTCAATCTAAATATTAAATAATTTTTATTTTATTTACCTAATATTATATCATAATTAATATTACAATTTTAACAGATAAATATTCACTAAATATACCAAAATTATAAATTTATAAAATTAGAGAACTAAAAATACATAATTACAACAAAATTACGATTTTAAAATTATAAGGAGAATGTAAATTAAACTTTTTTCTTCTTCTTTATATCATACACTATTGCCACTAAAAAAAATTTAACTCGCCTTGAACCTTCCCTTAGGGCCAGCCTCACCTAATCGAAGAACAAATAAAAGAAAGAACAAGTTGGTGACGAGTATATTGCCACTTCTTTTAATTCACTAATAATTGATAATTGATATATCTAATAATAATAGAAAATATAAGTAGTTATATAAATAATGCTTATCATAAAATTTAAGGCTGTAGCTATTATTCAAAAAATTTAAATTAATATATTTAATCTTACTAATAAACACTTACTATTTATTTTGAAAAAATTGAGTAAAAAGATAAAACTAAATTTATTTTATTTTATTTTTCACTTATTTGGAGTAAACATGCTAATCCGCCATCCTACTAATAAACAAAGTGAGTTGGAACTTTCAATTCATGCGGCTTAAAACTCATCCTCTCAAGTCAGCCACTCATGCATATATGAAAAACAAAAATTCACAACAATCAAACGCACCATTATTTCATTATCTAATCATCAATAGAACCATAAATTAAAAAAAAAAAAATAAGTATTACGAACCATTATCCACTCAACCATTGAGATAAACTTGTTCACTTTTTTTATTGCATAAAGTACTGCACATCCTTGGGAGTTAAGACATGCATGCGAAAAGAGAGCTACCAATGTGGCACAAGATATTAGGATCCTTGCACCAATTGCTTTCGCTACTAACACATCAGAACCGTTAAAAACACAACTCAGCAATTTTTCATACGTCATTGACACTTTTAAGCAGCCAAGCTTTTAGACGCTATCTCGAACACATTCTCTGATAGTCCATTAGTAGACATGATCCTCTCCAACTGGGCCTGTAAAACACCAGTTTTCAGCATAACTGATAGCCAATAATCTAAGAAAATGAGAGCTAAAGTGGCAAAACAATAATAAGTCTATTACCTTTGCAAGTTTTTGTCTGTCTTCATCATAACGCCTCCATCTTGAGAAGGCTGACACCATTCTCGAGGCAACCTGCATTTCTCCAAACCAAAAATGTGATATACTACTACATAATTAAGGAACAAAATGAATCTATAATTTGAAGAAAGCTAATGCGAAATGACCTGAGGGTTTAGCTTATCAAGTTGCAGCACAATTTCTCCCAAAAACTTGTAGCCTGACCCATCCTTAGCATGAAAGTTCACCGGAGACCCACAGAAACCTCCAATGAGAGAGTACACTTTGTTGGGATTGCGCAGGTCAAATGCTGGGTGGTTCAACAGTTTCCGCACATTCTCAACATTACCAGGAACATCAGACATTGCTTGAAGAGCAAACCATTTGTTCACCACCTGGAAAGGAAGGCAAAGTATAAACTAGTAATCCAAGAGACTCCACTGTAGGATAGCATTAAGGCGTAGATAGGAGGAACTCCTAAAATAACACTGAACAGATGTACGCGTATAGCCATAGGTGGGACAAACACGAGGGATTAAATAGCAGTCAGCCAGGCCAAAACAGAAAAGATTTAACAAAGAGAAGGTGTCAGAAGGAAGCATGCTCGACACAGATAGTGTCATTGAAAGAAGCACTGCAGTCCGCATAGATAATGGTAGGAAAATTGCAAAGGGCATCTTGAGTGTAATCCCGCCTCACCAACAACATAGGATATATTGACAAATGGATGGAAACATGCCCAACAGCAAACAATAATTTCAAAATCATAGTCATAGTGAAGGAGATTTACCAAGAAATCATTCTGCCACTTGCCATAAAAGTCAGCAAGCACATCATCACGGTTTTTACCAGGGTTCTGGGCTATGGCAGCCAAAGCAGCAAACTGCTCAGTCATATTTGTAGCAGTTTCATACTCATGCAGCGCAAGATTGGTGAACTCTTGATCCTCAAAGCATCCCAGATAAGCTATAACCAAAAAAAGATAAGCTTGCTACCACCATGTATTTAAATGAATTAGTATGTAATAAATTTTATATACCAAGAGCAACATTTTTCAGAGCACGTCGGGCCAAGTTTTGGTGATTAAAGACATATTCATCTGAGCTTCTATTATTTTCTACCTGCATAAAGATAAACAATCATGTTCATTAATGAGGAGATTCATACAATGAAGAAAAGATGTTTAACCAATTCCAGACAGCTTTATGCAACAGGTCATACTGTGCTGAGGAACTCGGATCTCAGTTCACTTGCAAGCTGCTTCCTGATGAATGTCCGAACAGCATGAACAGCATCAGGATCTGCAACCTCCATCATGTCCATTATTTCTCCCTCACCAGGCAGGGTTATTGCCTTTGCCACAAATTCCTAGATGATAAAGAGCATAAAGTACATTCGATGAAATCATATGATAAAAACCCATCAACAAAAATGAATAATCTTTGAGGAAAAATTGTTATAAGCATACTTTGTCCAGACTTGAGTCACATAGAATTCGTTTGAACCCATCAACAAAATTGGGATTCAAAATCAATGGTTTGTTATGTTGCAAATCATCCACTAAGTTAAGCATCAACTTTCGTGCTAAAACTTGTCCAGCCTCCCAACTGAATCATTTAAATAAACAAGTGAATAAATTCCTAGTAAGCTATCAAATTGAAAAGAATAAATTCTAACTT